AAAAAAATCTTTCAAATTTGATTCCAACATTTAAATAAATATTTTTTAATACACATTTCTTATAAGTAATCATTTTTAGGATTTCTTCTAAGTCTGAAATGTTTTGTTCTTAGTTTCAAATACTGAAATTTTTGTAGAGAACATATTTATAAACTCCCAAGGTAGTCTAGTTTTTCTCCTCCCTCTCCTGACCCCCTCTCTCTACTCCATGTTTTATCAATTGACTTGCATTTTGTTATCAAAGCCTGCCTTTACTTTAAATAAATAAATGCACATACATTTCATTTTCATTCATAAAGAATTATGTGCATTTTAATAACAACGGCGATCACTCAAATGTAGGTAGGTTCCAAAGCCTCAGATCACAAACAATAATACAAAAAGACACCAAAACACCCAAATACAACAAACAGCTCTTGGTTTTATTTCAGGGGTCATTGAATTTCATTGCATTGCATGTTGTATAACATATTTGAGAGGTTTACTTTTTTTTGCCACAAACTATTTGATCGCATTGCAATTAAATGGTATTTTAAACGGTTAATACAGCAAGTGTTATTGTTGGCAAGAACAATTATAATAACAACAACAACAAAAAATAGTTATTTTGTAACACATTAAACACTTACATTGTTGTGCAATTTTTTTGTCGGAAAAACTTAATTAGATTTATTTCTGGATGAAATTTGGAAGGTGTATATGAAGGAAATCACAAAGAAAACCCTGGTCTCTGGTGCCAATTTCATGAATGAAAAATTATAAATGACAATTGTGTTCTCTCGATTTTCAGAAATGGTATATACAACACCATCAGATATTTTATTTCATTAAGTTTATATTTTGTATAGAATTCTTTAAAAGATATTTAATGAAAAAACTAATTATATCCAATGAGGATTTCCATACCATTTGCACATTTTTCAATTCCAATATTTATGAATGACTACCGGAAGAGATATCATTACTTAAATTGAGATCAGATCTTTGATATATAAATATTTGAGTTTAAAAACTATATACGCTATCTGAATTATAGGCAGTTTTTTCCTTAAAACAGTCGAGTATGCTTATAATGAACGCCGGTTATAAGAACTTCATTTATAGCGAACACCTTTTTGATACATATTTTTTATACAAATATTTACCCTTATAACAAACCGCGGATATAGCGAACTCTTTTTATAACGATCTATTTTATCGGTCCCTACATTCAGTTTTCTTAAGTAAAAAAACTACCCGTTTCTAACTGAATATATACTTTTTCTGCAAAGCCTATGTCTACCTTGGATATAACGAACTAATTTGGTTGATCCCTGCTAGTTCGCTATAAACGACTGTATATATACCTCTTCTGTACCTCAGAAGACCTCTCCTATGTATTAGGACACATCTTTTCTTTGAATACCTCTTCTATAGCTTCGAACACCTCTTTATAGCATCGAATACCTCTTCTATAGCTTCGGACCACAGAATACCTCTTTTATACCTCAGAAGACCTCTTTTATGGCTTAGAATACTTCTCCTATATATTAAAAAACCTCTTCTACAGATTTGAAGCTTAGCTTAGAAGACATTTTCCATAGCTTCGAAGACCTCTTCTATAACTCAGAAGACCTGTTATATCGCTAATATATTAGAAAACCTCTTCTACAGATTTGAAGACCTCTTCTATAGCTTACTTTTCCATAGCTCCCAAGACCTCTTCTAAAGATTGGAAGGCCTTTTCTATATATTAGAAGACCTCTTTTATAGCTTCGTAAAACTCTTCGATAGCTTAGAAGACCTCTTTTATAGCTTCGAACATCAGAAGACCTCTCTATCGCTTAGAATAACTCTCTTATATCTTATAAAACCGCTTCTACAGATTTGAAGATCCCTTCTATAGCTTGAAGATCCCTTCTATAGCTTGAAGAACTCTTCTATATATTAGAAGACCTCTTCTATAGCTTCGTAAAACTCCACTATATCTTAGAAGACCTCCTACAACTTCGAAGGCATCTTCTGTAGCTTCGAACACCTCCTCTATAGCTTCGAAGATCTCTTCTATATGTCTTTGATATCTAAACTAAGGTCGTGGATTTTTGTCGTCTTCAATTACTCCTCTAGGGAGCATTAGGCTTCTACAAAGCATTTTCATCTAATAGTTTGTTGGTTTCGTTATCATTGTTGTTATTCCAGCAAAGTAGATTATATTGGTCTAACTTGCTCTAGGAAATCGGACTGCCCTCTATCTTTGCCTAGAAACAGTGCATTTTTGAATTTTGGCCCTTGGCCCTTGCTTACTTAAGTGTGACCATTTCGCACTGGGTGGAGCTATCTCTTGACATTGCTATTCTGTGTTATCCTCATATTCAAACCCAGGAACCCAAAAAATATTTTTAAAGACTGACTGGGCTGTATGAAATAATGCTAGAATAAATATTAAAACTGAAATTGTGGATTTAGAAATGAGAAAAAGTTGAAAGTTGCAACCTTCTGATATTTTTAGCACTGACTAATAAATGTCAAATTATTATCGCAGTCCTGCTACTGTTTAATAATTTCTAAAATTGCAATTAATTTTGACAGCCTATTACAATTTTTTGTGAATACAACAAAATCAAGTAATGAAAGTATAATTACCATTATCAACAACAAAAATAATACGGATACATATGTAATCAATAAACCAGTTACTTATTTAAAAATATATAAAATCAATAAAATAATTAATAACAGCAACGAATTGACGTCATTGAATTAAACGCGTAATGCATTCAACTCCCAAACCAAAATTGAGAAAACCCCAACCAACCGTCATAGACAACGTCATTAACATTAATGTAAATTAAGTGATTTTGAAAATGAATGAAACAGGCCGGGCAATGAAAGTAAAACGAAAAAAATACACTCTAATCTCAACACCCTGCCACACTCCTATCCCCGACAAACAGACTTGAAAACATAATTATGACAAAAAATCCAAATACGACGGCTTAATGCAACAATTCCACAAGACAAGATAAACAAAATCAAGATAAAACGGCAAATAAACAACTTCCCCGAAAAAAACAGTTCGATGTTTGCAAACATGTAAAAGCTATGTATGCAGCGCCACGCCATATAGCTTCCTTAAGTTGTGAACATGAAATATGGAAATTATCCAACATGAACATATATTTTATAATAAATAAAATAAAAATATTTATTTATTTATTTCGAATTATAGTACCAAAGAAAATTAAAAAAATTAAAACCAAAAATAAATATTCCCAAAAAAATATGAACACTAAAAATTAAAAATCAAATATTAAAAAAAAATATTGTTAAAAACAAGACATATAAATTGTTGTAATGTCATCATCGCATGGTGGTGGTAACAACATTACTGTTGCAACCACTCCAACTACTGTCACCTCGTCGCCGCCACCAGCTGAAGCTATTGCTACCACTTTTATGCCCCATCACCAATACCTCCCATCATTCTCAGCCGCAGTTGTTGTGACCAGTCCATCATGGACTTTATGTTTGGCCTGATAACGGGCATATTTGGAATTGTGGTGGCATTAGCATTGTTTGTAGTCCATGTCTTAAAAGTAAATTTAGGTAAATTGAGTCTTTAACGTGTCTTTTATTTCATTTCGTTTGCATTTTATTTATGTTATGATTTCATAGCAAAACCATAGATGATGACGGGTAGATAGCAAAGCAAACAATAACAAAATATTGTAGTAATAGTGGCAAAATTAATGTTAAATCTGTGAATGAATGCATGTTACGAGGGTAGAGCGATAATTATGGGAAACTAATCTTCTATAACATACAAGACTTCTATACCACAGAAAACTTCTTCTATATCATAGAAGACCACTCATGTAGCTTGGATGGACCTCTTCTAGAGCTTAGAAGACCTATTCTATAGCTTTTTATACCTCTTATACAGCTTCGAATACTTCTTCTAAAGCTCAGAAGACATCTTCAATACCTTAGAAGACCTCTTCTTAGCTTAGAAGACCCCTTCTATAGCTTCGAAGACCTCTTCTATAGCTTAGAACACATTTTCTATAGCTTCGAAGACTTCTTCTATAGCTTCGAAGATCTCTTCAATAGGTTAGAATCCTCTTTCATAGCCTGGAACACCTCTGCTATACCTTCGAAGACCTCTTTTATAGCTTAGAAGACCTTTTTATAGCTTCGAAGACATTTTCAATAGCTTCGATGACCTCTTCTTATAAGACCTCCTCTATATCTTAAAATACATCTATATCTTACACTACCTTCGAAGACCTCTTCTTTAGCTTCGAAAACCTCTTCTATAGTTTCGATTCTCCCTTCTATAGCTTAGAAGACCTCTTCCAAAGCTTCGAAGGCCCCTTTGATGGCTTATTCTAAAGCTTAAAAGACCTCTTCTATAGCCTTAAAGGCCTCTTCTACAGTTTCGAAGACCTGTTTTATAGTTGCGAAGACCTATTTTGTAGCTTCGAAGACCTCTTCTATAGCTTCAAATAACCTCTGCCATAGCTTCGAAGACATATTCTATAGCTTCGCAAATTTCTCCTATAGCTTGGAAGACCTCTTCCATTGCCTCGAAGGCCTCTTCTGGACCTTAGAATAACTCCCCTTTAGCTTAGAAGACCTCTCCTATTGCTTAAAAATCATAGAGGAACTTTGAGCAAAGAAGACCTCTTCCATAGCATAACAGACTTGTTTTGTAGCTTAGAAGATATCTTCCATCGTTGAGAAGTCATCTTCTATAGCTTCAATACCTCTAATATAACTTAGAATATCACTTCTTTATGTGTTTCCAAATTTTCCCCATAATTATCACACCACTCCTCCTTATCTGTGTGTTTATAAAATCTAGTTAATGTGCCATTAGTTAGTCCGTATATACTGTAACTCACATACACATAACATAATTATCGGTATTATTTAAGTTGCATGTCATTAATGTTATTATTGCATTTTCAGTAAACCTAACCTAAAAACAAACCCCTCAATGTTTACACTTCGTTAAACAGCTGCATTAACTTGTCCACACTTTTTACAGATTTACCTGCGCCACCACCAAAAACCAATGGCCACCTGCACCCACATCATCACCCTCACATCTATACAAATGGCTCAATTTCGCATGGTGATGGATCACGCGAATCAACACCGGGTCCAGATTTTACAGACATTTCAGAAGCCCGCTTGCGTAAGATGATCCAAAGCATCATTGAGGAGACAATCGATATGCCACCTCTATCCAAAACTTATGCTGTCTCTGAAATAGCTCTAGATCGGCCGAGTAAAATGGCCGATATGAATTTGGCAAATGGTGGTGGGCTACGTCGCCATCGTACCGAACATTATTTCGAGCCAACAAGCTATCAGGATCTATTGGCGACAGCTGTGCTGAATAAGGTAAGTTGGGATTTTTTTTTCAAGAGGGGCATATTTTTAATTTTAACTGGGAAAAAATGGGAAATAATCCACGAACTTTATTCCCTTTGGCTGCGATTAACTTATTACAGTTATCCTCCAACGCCTCTTCTATAGCATAAAAATCTTCTCCTATAGCTTTTAAGACCTATACTATGGCACAGATGACCTCATCTATAGCATAAAAGGCCTATGATATATCATAAAAGACCTCTTCAATAGCCTGGAAGACCTCTACTATAGCCTATAAGACATCTTCAATAGCCTAGAAGACCTCTTCTGTAGCCTAGAAGACCTTTTCTATATTCAAGAATACCTCTTCTATAGCCAGAAGGGCTCTTTTATACTGTAGAACATTTCTTTTATATCTTAGTTGACCTCTTCTATAGTAAAAAAAAACCCCGTCTATAGGATAAAAGACCTCCTCCATAGACTAGACGACCACTTCTATAGCCTATAAGATTTCTTCTATAGCCTATAAGACCTCTTCAATGGCATATGATGAATGACATAGAAAACCCTTTCTATTGCTTAGAATACCTCTTAAAAGCAATAGAATACCTATTCAATAGCCTAGATGGCCTCATTTGTGTCGCATGTGTCTTCTATATCCGAGAAGCCCTCTTCAATAGCCTTGAATACATCTTCTATAGCCTAAAAACCCTCTTCAGTTGATTGAAGACCTCATCTAGAGCCCAGAAGACCTCTTCTATAGCCTCGAAGATCTCATCTACAGCATATAAGACATTTTTATAGCCTAGAATACTTCTTCTATACCATAGAGGACCTCTTCTATAGCGTAGAAGACTTCTTTTATAGTCTAGAATATCATTCATTAGCCTAGAAACCTTTGAGGCATATATATAACTATAGGACTTAAAGAGCCCGTCTAATATATTATACAGCTTTTAAACATCACATATATCGTAGAAGACCTCTTCTATAGGCAGAAAAGCTCTTCTATAGCGTATAACAACTCTTCTAAAGATTAGTCGAACTCTTCTATTGCATAAAAGACATAATCTATAGCATATGAGACCTAGAAGACCAGCGCCATGGCCTAAAACATCCTTCAATAGCCTAGAATATCCTTCATTAGCCTAGAAACCATCTTCTGTAGCCTACAATACCTCTTCTGCAGAACCGAAGAGCTCTTCTATATCCTCGAACACCTCTTCTATAGCAAATATACAAAAAAAAACTCGATTAATTTAATAGTCGAAATTCGTCTTACGTATCCCTACTCATAGTACCCTGGCGCCTAGTCATCAAGGGGGAGATTTGTAAAATCGAATTTCTCGTTTCATAATATTGCAATTATGTATTTCTAAGGTTTATGGTTGTTGTCTGTACTATGTATTGTATTGGTGGTTTTCCCTTCCACCCTGGAAACCCCCTCAACTTACAAAACCAAATTGTATTTTTAGAATTTCTTTTTGAAAACAGCTGACCTCAAATTTCCGATTTTTCCCTTCTGGGTTTTGACCTGTTCTCTATTTGCCGGGAGGGAGAGAAGAATTTAAACAACTTGTTGATTTCTTCAAACATATCGGTCGGTATACAACCGGCACCGCTTTGAGCTTAAAATAATAAAATAAATGTGTGGCATTTTGACGCCAAGTTTGTGGGGGTGCCACCCACCTTTTGGCCTCGCGGTTTGTTGTTTGTTGTCTTTCGGGGGTATTCTATGATTCTTCGGAACATGATTTCGACATAAGGGTTGTAGGCATGACAAAAACAACGAAATGTATTTCGTTAGGTTATTCATTGAGCACTTTTGAGGCTTCGTACCGGACATGGAACAGTTTAGTTTTCCCCCTTCTTTTCATTCTGAAAATCCAATAGAATGTTAAATAGAAAACGCATTTTTGTCCAGTTGTCCAACAGCTACTAAAGCGTAAAGACGTCGTTATAAATTTCGCGAATCGAAAATAAAAAGCCAAAGAAGTGATAGAAAATTGCACCAGCTAATTGGATCAGCGCTCTTATTAGCTGGGTGAAAATTCCCACTCCACGGAAAGGGAGATTTTAAGCAAACCCCTAAAAAGGATTATACATTTCCCGAAAAAATCAAAGTGTTTGAAAGTTCGATTTCGAATTGAAAGTGTTAAAACCAAAAAAGCAAGTAATGGATCAAGAAGAAGCTAATCAAAATGTAAATTTCAAAATCGGTTATTAAAAAAGAAAATAAATTAAAAATTAAAACTAAAAATTAAAAAATCTAACTTCTAAAATTATGTAACGAAATTAACGCCTGATATTTTAATGAGCAAAAATTATGAACATCTTCGACATTGTATGGGTCGTTCGTTGTACAAATTACAACCTCCAAACCTACTGGGCAATGGAATAACCAAAAGGAATCCCTATCGATGACAGCGGCTTAAACAAACAACAACAGAAACGAAACAAAAATCAATATTTCCGGCGACAGTTTGACGCTTACGCACAATTTTTTATTTTGTTGTGTCACACCGAACTTAACGAAACTTAGCCATTCAGCCACCCACCTGTCGGCGACTTAACTTTCGTTAAGTTCCCTGACCTGGGCAACAAACCACCCTCACACCACATGCTTTTTGCGAACAGCTTAACACACCAGCAGTCAATATGTGTTAAGTGGTGTGCAGGTGTATTGGTTGTCTGGTCCCTGTCTGCTTTCCATTATTTATTTTTTTTATTCTTTCAAAGTCAAGGCCGTAAACTGATTATCTAAACAACAATTTATCTTTTATGTTTTCTCTCTTTCTCCCTCTTTTTTTGCTCTATTTTTAGATTGTCGACAAACAATCGAACAATAATCGCAACATGACCGAAAGTTCACCCAATTTGACACGCGTAATGGCTGATGGCGCCGAAGATGTTACCGATATGGTCGACGGCTCTGGCGATATGGATCAAAATTATAACATGGAAAATCAATCGATAACTTCGGGTAGTTCGGTGGAGCCTCGAAGTGATTTAAGCTATACGGATACTGAACCTAATGTTACGGTAAGTGATTATGGACACCTTTTTTGAATTTTTATTAGGGAAAAGTAACCCGAAGGATTTAATATCGAACGAAAGACTGTAACATAAAAATACGACTCAAAAATACGCCCCTGCGTACGTCCCTGGTTCTGACGTGTACCAATGAACAATTGAACTAAAAGAAACTATGGCACTAAATGAATGACCTAGTTTGTTTTGCGGAGCTAGCCAATAAAAATCTAACCGCTTCAGGAACGATATTGTCCAACACCAGATGTTACCTATAACATTGAAATATCGTTCGGTTCATGCCAGGCATTTTTGCAAGTGTTTTAGGTTGTATGTGGCATCGGATAAGGTTATAAAATTGAACAAAATATCGCCACGAGAAAATACCTCAGGATATTTCCAGATTACCTCAAAAAGTCATTGCTGGTGACGAAGCATGTGAATCTGTGACGTTGAAACCAAAGTCAAGACCCAAGAAAAACACGTCAGGTTCGGCCAAATGTGAAGGCTCTCTGTTTTCTTCGACTCCAATGGCTTGTGGGGTTCATAAGGAATACTATATTGAAATTATGTGCCGTTTGCGCAAGGCAATACGTCAGAAATGCACAGAATTGAGAACTTTTTACCAGCTCATTAATGCTGGAGGGTTTTGACCAAAAACAAAACGATAACCTTCCTCAACCATGTATTCACCGAAAATATCGTCCTCTTACCAAAACTGAAGAAAGGAAAGCATTTTTCTACGCTTAAGAAGATAAAAAAGAAAAGGCAAATTGGACCTGTTGGCCATACCAAAAGGAGGGTATCAGAAGTGTTTCGATGATTAAAACCAATCAGGACCATCGTACTATTTTAATATTTTTGAAGGACTATCATAGGGACTATCATATAAGGGATTAGCGATGATTTGATTTAGAATATTTTTTTCAGGGACTACACCTTAAGCGTGGATTTGCTTAGCATATCTCATGCATCCGTTTTTTAAGAATATTTGTTCAAGGGATACCAAAAAGGGTCTATCTAAAGCGGGAATATTTTTGGAAGGACTATAAAATGCATGGATCTGTTAAGTATATTTTCTGTAGGCCTATAGCACCCGTGAGAATAATATCTAATCATAAAAATAAACTTTTTTGAAGGACTATATATTTATCTTATTATTTTCTATTTTCTTTCCAGACTACTGAAGAAAAATCTCCTGAATTGTTGTTGAATGCTGGCCGTGAATCTGTTATGAGTGATTATTTGGCAACTCATATGGTACCATTACCAGATCTATCTGTCGTAGCAACGGAATCTGAGATGGAAGATGGTGAGTATTATTAAAAAATCTATTCAAAATCTTTTCTTTTTTCTTCCTATATCATATCACCCCCCCTTGAGAGCATAAGATGATTGATCGGTCCGCTGTAACTTGACCTAAGTGTTGGGTCTGTCATCTATCTTTGTCTAGAAACAAAACCTCCTTCAATTCTGTACAGTGGTTAGGATCCTTGCTTAATTAGTGTTGTTATTTTCTTTTGGATGGCGCTATCTCCTAATATTCCTATTTTATGTTATACACAGGTATTGATAGCGAGGTTGGATATTAAAATGTCAGGGGATTAGGAATTTAATTTATAAGGGGATATAAGCCTCTATTTTACTTTTAATATCATGTTGTATTTTTTATTCGCATTAATTTTTTTATTTCATTTTACTCTTAAATTTTACCGCAATTTAACTTCAACATCAGGATTTTTTTCTTTTTATTTCATTTTACCTTAAAAATATTTAAATATATTATGGCTTTATTTTCATTTTCTTCTTGCCTTCGTTTGAATATTATTTATGTATAAATGATTCATTTTCTATATAATTTCTTTTTATTCCTATTTAATTCTTCAGATTACATGTCTGTGACTTCAAGTGCTGTCGGTGACAGCGCCTGGGAGAATAATTGGCTATTCAAAAAGAAGAAACCCTCTCTGGCTGGAGGTTCAATTTCAACATCAAGCGTCGGTATGTTGGTACCTGATCCCAAGGAGGATGTTCGTGCCCAAATCGGTGATAAAACGGCAGATGAAATTAGTGATCTATCCGAACTGGGTTCCGACACAGATGATTCGTCAATGGATTTGTTACGTGCCAATTTGGATCCAGTCAATAATCGTTTATTCAATAAACATTTGATTGGTGGACAAAATAGTAAAATGGTTTTAGATGAATTGATCGAGCGCAGCAGTATGATTTCAAATACTCTGCCATTGGATCAGGAGGAACCATATGCCGAGACACGCAATGTTGATGTGGATGCTCCCAGTAAAAATGAAGCCATAAACACAAATGTTAACCAGCAAAATAATAACAACAATAATAACAAGGAAGATCAAAAGAATTTAGAGGTTCTAAATCCACCAACGGGCTTTGAGGATGACAGTAGCAGCAGCAATCCCTTGGCAGGTATGTCAAAGACTTTTCTTTTTTAATCCCACTTGTGCCTAGTTTTAGAAAATTTATTATTTTTTTATAATCACCTATCAAACAAGTCACATCAACGAAACAATCCTCCTCCCTGGTAAAACTTTTTTTATAGATGAAATGCTAGTCTAAACATCGTTTGTTCTCCTCCATTGTTGTTAGATTTTCTCTTCAGTTATTTTTTGTAAGGTAAATATTTTGCTTTGTTTCCCTTGTACGTCTTGAAAAGAAAATTTCCCAAAATATAAAAGAATTCTATGCATGAGTTTTGGGCTGACAATTTCGTCTCTTCTCCTTTCGCGACATATGCCACTTTTCGCCGATATTTTATAACAGGTGATGATAGTTCCGACACAGAAGGTTGTACCGGTTTTAGCACAGTTGAGGTGGTAGACCCCTCCGAACGTATACCTTCTGTTGTTGAAATTCTGGCAGCCATGGCTTTGGGGCCAATGTTGGCTGTACCGGCTGCCGACGAACCAACAGCTTTAACAGCAGCCGAACTAATTACAATGAATGAATTGAAAAATTTAGCATTAGCCGAAATTAAGGCACGCTCACATGAAATGTATCCACATAGTTTGGGTGTAATACCGGAAGAATTGACGGAATTTGATTTGAAAAATTTCCCAACTCCCGATGAATTGCTAGAAGAACAGGAGGAGCAAAAACAATCGAATGAAAAAAGTGTGGTGGTATTGGAAACGATTGTTGAAACTCCAGATTTGCATGAGAAAATGGAGGATAATTCTGGTGATGATTCAACTGAAAATACTTTGATAACAGAAGAGGATGTAGAAAACAAATCCAAGGAGATTCTGGTAGAAAATATGTCCAATAAAGGCGAAGAATCTAAGGAAAATGATTCGGCATCGAAAGTGGAGGAAGTGCCTAAGTTGGACGAATCTACGGAAAGTGTTTCGGAATCGAAAGCTGAAGAAGTGCCTCCTAAGGTGGATGAATCTACGGAAAAAAATTCGGAATCGAAGGGGGCTGATGTAGAATCTAAAGATGTTAAGGTTTCAGAACCACAAGGTCTCAACGAAGAAAATGTGAAAATATGTGAAACGAAAACAGATGGTACAAGGTAACGAAAACGTGAAGGAAGAATTTGTGAAGGCATGTGAACCTGATGTAGTGGAAACCACTACTGAAGTGGCTGTGGAAATCAAAGAAGTGCAACAGGCAAATGCTGACACAAATTCTGCTAAGGAACCAGAAGAAACAGTCCAGAAGGAGGAAACCACAGAAATAGGAAAGGATACCAAAGAATCTACGGTTGAAATAAATGACGAAGTTGCTGTCCCACAAAACGAATTGTCGGAGGTAAAAGTCTCACAAGATGAAAAGTCGAAAATAGAAAAATGTGTAACCGAAGAAACATGTTCTGTTCAGCAGGAAGAATTATTGGAATCTAAAGTTTCAAAAGATGAAAAGTTAGACAAAGAAGCTAAAGTTGGAGACGAGTCACAAATTGCCGAATTGTCGGACAAACACGGAGATGAAGTTATAAAATTATCTGAACCTTCAAAGACGGAGGCAAAAACTGAAGAAGCTAAGCCATTGAAAGCTGAAAGTAACGAAAAACCAGCAGACATTCCTCCACCCGAGGAGAGAGCTATAGAAACAAAGGCAGATGAGACCACATCGTCAGATGTTCCAACATTGGAAACATTAGCAAAATTGGCAGCTGGTACTGCAGAGGATTCTTCAAAAGTTGAAGAAACGGCGATTCCTGTAGAACAAGTTACTCAATCAACTGAAGATCCTAATATTTCAGCAAAGGACTCGGATAAAGAACCACCACAAGAAGGAGCAAAGGCAAACGAAGCGGAAAATTCTGTAGAAAGTCAGACTAAAGAGACTGAAGCAATTCCCTTAGCAATTGAGAAAGATGTTGAATCGAACGTTGATCAAAATGTACCTTCAGAGGTTCGGGAGGAAGAAACACCAGTGCCTGAGAAAACGCCAGAACCAGTAGAGAAATTAGAGGATACTGATTTACAAACATTGACAGAACTTCCAACCATTGAGTTCCACATTCAGACCATGCCCTTGAATCCTTTGAAAAAGGAAAATAAAGTTGAGGTTGTAGTTTGTGAAACTAAGACTGATGAAGAAAGTGGTGAAGCTGTAGCACCTGCTGAATCCAAAAAAGAAGCGTCTGAACCTCCTGTGAAGGAGAGTTATGAACCACCAACATTGGTCGAAACCACAATAGAAACTTCTGAAAATCCAAAACTGGAATCTGATGTGTCCAATCCATGTGAACCGAATAAAGAGGTAAACAAGGAATCAATCTCCGTTGCAGAAGGTGAACTAACCACTCCAGCTAGCGAAGAAAAAGTTGCGGAATCGAAAGCTGAGGAAGCGATAAAAGTAGAAGAATCTGTGGAAATTGTTACGGATATAAAAGAGACGGAAGTATCTAAAATAGAAACTGAAGATGCAGAAGTTGTGGAATCCCAAGCCCCAGAACCAGAAAAAGTTTCCTCTGTTCAAGAGGAATCTCTAAAATCAAATGTGGAAACTCCAGAAAATAAAAGCGAAAGCGAACCACAAAATGATATTTCGGAGCCTGAAACAGTACCTGAAGCAGAAACATCTCCGCCGACAGCTGAACTCAAAACAGAAGACAAAGTTGAAGTCGCTGAACAGGAACCTCAAAAATCTGCTGTAGAAGAAGTAACGGTTTCTAATGTTGTATCTGATGATGAACCTCAAAATGCCAATCAATCAACCACAATTGCATCCACCAACGAATTGGAACCGCAAAAATGTCCTGAAGAGAAAGCAGGAGACGAAACTGAGAAATCTAGTGAAGTAAATGTTGAAGTTCAGAAGACAACTGTGGAAGAATTACCTCAAATGGTAGTTGAATCTGAAGTAGCAACTGAAGAAGCTGAGAACAAAACTGGACTAGAAAATATAACGGATGAAGTACCCGTAATAAAAACTGTAGCTTCGGAGGATGTAGTACCTCAAGTTGTAGAGGAACCTCAAAAAGAGGCAAAAATTGGTGAATTAGAAACAGAAGTTGAATCTCAAAAACCAAAGGAAAGTGATGTATCATCGACGAAAATCGAATCATCCTCCACTGATATTGAAACACCAAATGATGTTGCTCCGGAACTACCCGTAGCAGAACCTAAGAAAACATTGCAAATTGAATCTTCTTCGAATATAGAAACTGAAGCTGCAGTTGAAACTCAAGAAACTACAGAATCAGAAAATGTTACTGTGACTGAATCTCAAATCACTGCGGAAAATGTAGAATCTTCTTCAGAAGCTCTTTCTGAAGTAGTAGATAAAACTGATGTTGAAACCCAAGACGTATCAACGAAAAATGAAAACACCACTGTTGACGCCCCAAAAGCAATAGTAAAAGAAATTTCTATAGTTGAGAACGTATCCGGAGAAACTCCCGCAAATGAAACTTTAGCAGCCCAAGTAGAAGCTGCTAAAGCCGAAGAAGCAGAGGCAACATCTGATCCTTTGCAGAATGCTCCAAAACCTGAAATAGAACATTCTACTGCTGCAACAGAAGAAACAACGTCAGTGAGTGAAGTATCAGATGGAAATCCAGAAGTTGTTGTACAATCTGAAAGGGCAGAAAAATATGAAACGTCTGCTGCATCTGACCCTCAAATAGATGCGCCTACTGTCGAAATTGAATCGTCTAACCCTGTAGCAGAAGAAACAATAACTGCAGCCGAAATAACTGAAAAGAAAATGACAGTAGAAAAATTGGAAGCGGTCGAAGTGGAATCTTCCAACGTACAGAAAATTGAAACACCTGTTGCAGTAGATTCTCAACAAGTACAGGAAATATCTGGAGAATCACAATCAAACCAAAAGCAAGCGGATACAGTGCAACATCCTAAGGAAGAAGAAGCTGAAACAACAACTGCATCTGAGCCTCCAAAGAATGCACCAGAACCTGAAACAGAGACATCTAAAGTTGTGCTAGAAGAAACTATGTCTGTTGGAGAAGTATCTGACGAAAAACAAGCGGATGTGGTAGATTCTGAAAAAGCACAGAAAGAAGAAAGCCCTACTGAAACTATTCTTCAAAATGCTTCTCCAGCTGCTGAAGATAAATCGTCTAAAACAGTGACAGATGAAACCAAGCCTACGGTTGAGGTATCTGTAGAACCAAAAGTTGAACAAATTCCACAGGTAGAAGTAGAATCTACTAAAGTAGAGGAAGATAAAACAACTGATGCGACAGATTCCCAAAAAGATGTGCCAACGGTTGAAGTAGAAGCATCAAAGTCTGTGACAGAGGAACCAACACCTGTAGTTGAACCTGGAAGAGCTAATGCAGATGCCGTTTCATCGAATCAAACTGAAGCAGAAGCATCAACTGGAGTAGAACCTAAAAATACCACAACAGAAGATCCAACTAAAGTCGATTCTGTAACCAAAAACATTGAGACTCCAACTGAAAAATCGGCTTTAGTTGTTACAGAGGCTGAACCTCAAATAGCAGCTGTACATGAAGAAGTTACGGACCAAAAACTAGCCGCTGAAAATAATGATAATGATAACGAAGCTGAAAAAACAGTAACCGAAGAGTTATCATTAACGGATGTAGAATCAACGGAAGTATCCGTTCAAAAAGAAGAAGACACTCTGAATGAAAAGGTGATAGATACGGCTGTGCCCGAAACAGAAGAAGCTCCTACATCTGATGTGAAACCACAAAAAACTGATACCGAGAGTACACCCGAAGTTAAAAGCGAGAAATTATCAGAAAACGTGACATCTGTGGCAGAAATTGAACCTCCAAAACTAGTGAGTGAAGAAGTTTCCGCAACTGAAAAAGAGTCTCCAGAAGCCAAAGATAAATCAGAAGTTTCAGCGAAAGAAGAAGTGTCCGCAATAGAGGTTCAAGTTCAATCAATTGTCGAAAAATCTGAACCTAAAACAGAAGATTCTAATGAATCTGACACTACATCCAATAAACCCGAAGAAAAAGA